GAATTGGTCATATTCACAAATATCGTGTTCATCATTTGGTGGCTTTAGCATTCTGTTCAAAAGAAGAAGGCAAAGAATTTGTAAACCACATTGATGGTGATTCTACCAATAACAAAGCATCTAATCTCGAATGGTGTACACCAAAAGACAATTTACAATATGCATTGTGTCTCAGGCCTCAGGATGGTTGGATGCGTCAACGTGCTGTCAAGCAGATTTTTGATGATAGGTCTTTTTGAAAATTTTCATCCTTAATTGAAGCATAACGCATAACTAGGATTGATCAATCAAGTATCTCGAAGGTTTGCAGAGGATATCGAACTTATACTGGCAGATATCATTGAGAATATATAAATACATGATACAAATAAACAAGATACTAATTAAAAAGATGCATATTAATAATTTTATTTGTAAGTTGTATAATATAAAATATAAAACTTCCTGACCGCTAAGGTCAGGACATGTGCTACACGTGATTGGTACAGTAGATTAGTTTTTTTGTTTCAAAATGCTAAGTATAATATTATCAATATCCTCCTGCCTTAATTTGGAAATGGTCAAAGCACTGAAAGATTTGACTCTTTGAATTTTATTTTCTCCAATATTAATAAAGAGCGTATAAAGCTTTCGTGATCTTTCTACCTTCTTTCACAATATAATATCCGTAATATTGGGAATTTGCTCTCTAACTTCTTTATTAACTAGCAACAAAGAAGCATATGGAGGATTTGTTTTCTTGTGATGCTTAAGTCGTTCTGATAGAGCTTTACCAAAGAGATAATAGTTGGTTATAACATCCCGATTAGTAATTTCATTTTGCATTTCTGAATTAGTTATATTATTATATAAATCATTAAAACTAATAGCATTTTCTTTTCTAATTACAGGAACTTGAGTTTCGGGTTCAGTAGATAATTCTTTTATAAGATCTTCTAATATGTCTGATTCCTTTTTAACCGGTTTCTTTACTTTTTATTAGATAGTTTATTTGTAGGTTCTCTGACACGCTTTTTTTGTATTCTACCTCCAAATAATGGCGATGTATTCATTAGTGAATTTAGCCCAAGATTATTGCCTAACATATCTGCAATAGCCGAAGTTTCACTAGACTGAGATGATTCGGAAAATCTTCGTTCAAATATTACAGGATCAATAGTTTTTTTGCATTCAGTAATAAGGCATTTGC